TAAAAGTACCAAGCAAGCACATACATAAATGTATAAACCACATGTCTGAAACCCCACAGTAGTTGTTATCATAACAAAAGAGTGGCCAGGATGCCCAGGTAATCCAATCAGGTAACCTGGCAGACAGGATAAAAACAACACACTCAGATTTCTGTTGTAGTCCGCCCCTTCCTCTGAGGTATATATAATGTACTGTGGGGTGGTCTTGGGCTACACCCCTTCTGTGATGTATGTATGATGTATGGAGGGGTGGTCTTGGGCTCTGGGGTGGGCAGTTAAAAAGTCCATATAAGGGCTTGCGCGCATGGTTCGGGGTCCTCCTCCTCCTCTCTCCTGCGTGTGAGGGAGTACCCTGTTGCAACAGCTTTAATAAAGATCAAGCTTACTAGCTGCTTTGCTTCTCAATATTCTCTGGTTGGCCTCTGTTATTTTCTCCTACCAATGGAGAACCTAGAAAGGACTCTATAAGGGTTGCTGTATACCCCATAAGGGAAAGGGAGCAGTTTTTGTTTACAACACTAGGGATGATGGGAGCTGTAGTCCAAAAACTGCTGGACGCCCAAGTTTGGGAAACACAGTTCTAAAGCCTCTCAACCCATGGATCTGAGGTATAGGATCATACCCATTAAATTTAATTTGAAAGTTCTAATAAGAACTCATGTACTTGTGCCCCATAGTATTACAGTGGTTCCTCGAGTTACATACGCTTCAGGTTACAGACTCCACTAACCCAGAAATAGTACCCCGGGTAAAAACTTTAGCTCAGGATGAGAACAGAAATCGCGCAGCGGCAGCGGGAGGCCCCATTAGCTGAAGTGGTGCTTCAGGTTAAGAACAGTTTCAGGTTAAGAACGGACCTCCGGAATGAACTAAGTACTTAACCCGAGGTACCACTGTACTTTTGACAGGTTTGTATAACAGAGAGAGAGGGAGAGGGAGAGAGAGAGCACTACTTTTGTTTTTCTTATGATTTCTTCCTCTCTTTTTTAGTAGTATTTTTTTCCAATTTCGAAAGGTAATTCCTGGTTCGGTCTGAAAATTTAAGCAGATCAGGTTATGATTCACACTGACTTAAGTACCTGTTCCTGAATTATCATAATCAAGGCACCTGCAAAAATAAAATGGACATGAAACACAGCGTAGACAAGAGAGGAACCTGCGACTCAGGCTCGGCTGATGGGCAGAGGAAGCTTTGTAAAGAATGGGTGACCAACTTCTGCATTCTCAGGGGCCGCTCTGTTCCCCACAAACCAGGTCCCATTGTGACACTGGCAACATCGTACAAATAAGCAGGGCCGGTCCTACTGTTAGGCAGAGTAAGGGAGTGGCCAGATATTGGAGGCCTGTCCTATGCCCTCTAAGCTAGCCAGCCTACTGCCTTCCAGCACAGCGGAGAACATTGCTCTGTCACCAACACTGAATTAAGGATGCGTGCACGCTATATAGCACATTTGTTTTTTGTTTTGTTTTTTCAAATTTTTTTATTGGTTTTCACAATATTATAAACAAACAAACAAACACACAAACAAACACACAAGACAAACAAACATAAATCATAGCCTTATTGAAAATTACACTTATTAACTTTGTTAAGTGACTTCCTCGCTTTCCCTTGGTTGAATTTCATTGCATGTCCTTTTAACGGTTTTCCAAATCCCAGTTCTTATGAAATTTAACTTAAACATTAGCATCCTTAAATCTTCACATTATGGAATTAAACATATTAATTCATCACTTAACATAAATAAAATCCTCAGCCAATTAAGTATCTGCAAGCTGTTTTCAGTTTAATTTAACATATTTAACTAAATAATCATTAAATTTGATCCACTCTTCCTGATATTCCTCCTCCTTCTGGTCGCGGACTCTTCCGGTTAGGTCAGCTAGCTCCGAAAAATCCATCATCTTCATCTGCCATTCTTCTCTCATTGGTAATTCTTGGGTTTTCCACTTTTTAGCTAACAAAATACAAGCTGCAGTTGGGGCATACAAAAATAATTTAACATCTTTCTTGGGCAATTCCAAACCTGTTATTCCAAGAAGAAAGGCCTCTGGTTTCTTTATAAATGTATATTTCAACATTTTTTTCCAATTCATTATAAATCTTTTCCCAGAAATCTTTCACCTTGGGACAGGTCCACCACACATGCTAAAAGGTTCCTTCCTTTTCTTTACATTTCCAATATAGATTGCCACATATATCTTTGCTAATTTTACAGGAGTCAAATACCATCTGTAGAAAGAAGCTATATAGCACATTTGAAGCACATTTTCCCTTTAAAAGAATTCTGGGCACCATCAGTTTGCTTAAGTTTGCTTGGGATTGTAACTCTGCGGGGTAAATTACAGCACCCAGAATTATTTGAAGGGGGAAATGTTCTTCAAATGTGCTTTAGAGGTATCGTGAGCCCACAGCCATGAATTCAAATGCCAGTCCACTTGCCTTCTGCATGTGGAATGGAGTGGGGAGCCTTCAACCAATACAGCAAAATGTTTGGGGCTGAACCTCTGAGGGAATTCACCATGACTGGCTCAGAGCTACGTGTAAATGCTGATTACATCCATGTTGCCAAGTGCGTGATTAGGTCAAACATGAAAAAGTGGAATATGTCTTACAACATATTTTTTCCCCTTTTGTGAGCGAAACTGCTGGCAAACTTTTCCCTGTGTCATCAAAATTTGGCGAAGCCACAGGGGCAGCTGGTTCCGGGTTTAAGCGTAAGGGAGCTCTTGGAACATGGGCCCAAAGTTGTAGAAAGATGACCGACCAGAAACAGAACAGAAAAACATCTCCTAAGTAAATTATAATTTCCCCCCATTCTTTTTTAAAGTTTGTGTCCTCTTGGTCCCTGAGCTTTCCACTGCTTCTGAGCTAGGCCAGCCGGGATGGAGCCCAGACGCCCGTACGGAGGCCAAGTGGGGAAAGCTTCTAAGATGAGGTAGGAGAAAATGCTTCCCTCCCATGTCCCTGGCCCTCATGCCTCAGACTGGTGCTATCTTGGTGGGGAGCCAGGCACTTTTTATTATTATTTTTTTATTTTTAATGATATTTATTACTTTTCCAACAATTTCAACACAGCATTACACGAAAAAAGAAAAAAAGAACAATACGAATACAATACAAAAACACTACATACGAAACAAAACAAAAACAAACAAAAACAATTTAAAATCACCTCAAACATTTTCAATATCCTATCTTTCATTCGCTTATTTCCATCGACCTCCTCACACCTCCCTTTTTGTATTCCACTTCTGTTTATTATTTCAGCAATTCCTTTCCATCTTCCTCTGTTTTCTATCCTATAATTATCTTAACACATTCTTACCTTATTTTTTTCCTTTGATTTTCCATTAATCTATTTATACTTATTTCCTTATAACATTTCTACTAAAGCCATATAACTTCATTCCAACATTCTTCTAACATTCATTAATTTTACCATATTTCTGTAAATAGTCTTTAAACTTTTCCCAGTCTTCTTCCACCAACTCTTCTCCCTGGTCTCAGATCTTGCCAGTCATTTCCGCCAATTCCATATAGTCCATCAACTTCATCTGCCATTTATCCAGCACTTCAGTGCTTTCAAGAAGCAACCATTCTCTCAGCCAGCAAAAAGCAGATGGTTCACATCAAAGTTTAGGGGTCTGGCAGGGCAAGTCCACCTCCTTCCTTAGCATCCGTCAATATCTTAAATTTTACTCGTGGCTTCCTGCCCTGCCAGGCAAATCTAGAGACGTCCCTCTGTCACCTCCTGATACAATCCATCCCATCCAAAACTTGCAATGTTTGAAACAAAAGCAACATCCCCGACAACACAGCAAACCCTCATTCCCACCACAAGCAACTCGGCCCAACAATAACAACTTCAGATTTAGCCATATTTCCAAATCCTCCTTCTCTTCAATCCAACGTCCAGCATTGGAGGGGGCAGGCACAGCCAACCACATCCCTTACGCAGTAGGCAAACCCAAATGGCCATCAGCCAAATGGTAAAATTCCTACCAGGCCCCTGCTCCAAAGCAGACAACCCCATGACAGGCATAGCAAGGTCAGCGCAAACCAACCCTAATTAAAGGGAGGGTGTGGCTGCTGGGGGGGGGAGGGAGCTGTAAGGCTGCACAAACCCCCAAGGGACTAAGGAGGCTTTCCCCAGTTCGAGAATTGCTGCAGTATCTTTTGGGACCCCCAACCCAAACCATGAGGTGAGGGAGTCCTCCGGGCATTTAGCTGCAAAGAGAGAATACCTTTTTAAAAAGACACCAGCACGTGCCAGGCCTTGCAGGGCCTCCATGCCCTCAGCTTCTACAGCGGCTTCCTGTCCCTCATGGGCCTCACCGTGGACCGCTATGTAGCCATCGTGTGGGCACCCGTCGCCCACCGCCTGCACTCCTCCACCACCTGCTGGGGTCAGCTTTGCTCAGGGCTAGTGTGGCTGCTCTCCATGGCTCTGGCACTGCCCCATTTCTTGTATGCCCGTGTAGAGGACTATGGGGGCATTTGCCTCTGCAGGGTGGTGGACGTAACAGCAGCAGTCAGCCTGGCGCAAGTGGCCTTGGGTTTTGCGCTCCCATTCGCAGTCATGGCGGCCTGCTACACAGCGATCGCCTGACTAAGACTAAGGACTCTTGCCTCAGAGGTAATGGGACAGGGAGAAGGAAACACACAAGAAGGGCCTGTGGGATCAGGCCAAGGGCCCGTCTGGTCGAGCCTCCTCTTCTCACAGGCGCCACCCAGATGCCACTGGGAAAGCAGCAAATAGGATTCCAACCCAAGAAGCAGTGCATAGCGTCCAGTTCTCCCCTGCTTCAATGATCCTTTCTTTCTTGCAGGATCTCCTGTCTGCCCTGCTGTGGCTGCTGCCCAAGCCACCATGTAAATGGAACAGGTAAGAGGAAGGGGAAAATTGCATGGGGCAGGGAGAACACCCTACAAGTTGAACGTACGTGTTCGTTCTGTGGATGCGTTTCTGGGAAAAGGCTGACACTAATAAGACGGGTTTGGGAATCGCAGCTCTCCTACAGGTGATGCTTGATTACAACTCCCATTGTCCTTGACCATTGTCCTTTTTCTCTTGCTTTTCAGCTGAAAAGGACAAAAAAAAACCAGTTCTTGTTCCTTATGGGAGACAGAGAGCTCGCTTGTAGTACGCAAGGTTTCCCAACAGTCAGAGTAAAACAGAATACAACCAAAGCAACGTGAAGCAAAGCAACAGAGATGCCTGATCGTGGGGGCACCCGTCGCCCATCGCCTGCACTCCTCCGCCACCTGCTGGGGTCGGCTTTGCTCAGGGCTGGTGTGGCTGCTCTGGCACTGCCCTATTTCATGTACTCCTGCGTTGAGGATTACGGGGGTGTTCACCTCTACAGGATGGCGGACATCACAGCGGTTGTCAGCCTGGTGCAAGTGGCCTTGGGTTTTGTGCTCCCATTCACAGTCATAGCGGCCTGCTACACAGCAATCACCTGTGCTCTCCTGGCCTCCCTGTGTGCCCAGTCTCTCAAGGCCCTGCGCTTGATTTTGGCCCTGGTCTTGGTCTTCCTGGCTTTGCAGTTGCCCTATGCACTGCTTACCTCACTGGACATGACCGCTTTGATGGGACACCAGGCGTTGAGCTGCAAAGTCATCCTCCGCCGGGACTTGGCTCTCCTCATCACCAGTGCCTTGGCCTTCTTCTCCCACTTTTCAGCCAAACACCCAGGTGGCCACACTGCAAGTGGACGTTCTGCACCTTCTGAAGTCCATCTGGCAGCCTGCAAAGGAAGATGTGACGGGCCTGGATGATGACATGGCACAGCTCTTAGGGAAATGCAGTGATGCACAATCTCGCCCTGGCTACCCACAGAATAGAATCCTATTATTATAAATAAAATCCTCATAGATTCTTATTATGTTGGCTCCACAGGCTCTCTTTCCACTTGGTGACCTGTTACTTATTTTAGCACCCTCTTTGGAGGGGTCAGATGAGCTGTTACATCAATACAGGGACTGGCATTACTTAACAGCTGGGGGATAAGCTGGCCGGATAAAAACAATTGATTTTGCTAATTCTGGAGACCGGATTGCCCTGATGGTGACATGGTGCAGCTCTCAGGGAAAAGGCAGCAATGCAAAATCTTGCACTGGCGCTCCCTGGCTACTCATACATGAACTGCATCCAAAAAATTAGCCCATCAGCATTTCTTGAACTAGCAGGGTTTAGTCCCAGAACCTCTTTTGAAATTCTGGCATTCATCCCTGGAACAATAATAAAGAAATGAGCACATCTGAGCATTTACAGAGTATCTTTCCCCAAGAGTTGACCCACCTGAATTTGGAAACGAAATATTTTATGGGCAGCAGAGGGATGAGTGGAAAAGAATTATTATTATTATTATTATTATTATTATTATTATTATTAGCGTCACCCGTCACTGATGCATGTGGCCTGGCTCCCTGGCTTGACTTGTCCACAGCTGTTGATAGTTTGGCAGGTCCTCAGCTGTGGTCCCCAGATTATATTTTCTGCTGTGAATATCTGGTTGAGTACAAGGTTGAACCATACGGCCTTTCCATGCCTCTCTTCTCTTAACTCTAAGGCTGCGTATACATCACACCTTCAAGTCACGACGTCATTCTATTATAATGGCAACCTACACACTCATTGTTCCTAAACATGTTCTTAAAGGTAAAGGGACCCTGGCAGTTAAGTCCAGTCGGAATGACTCTGGGGTTGTGGCGCTCATCTCACTTTACTGGCCGAGGGAGCCGACATTTGTCCGCAGACAGTTTTTCCGGGTCATGTGGCCAGCATGACTAAGCCACTTCTGGCGAAACCAGTGCAGCACACGGAAACGCCGTTTACCTTCCCGTTGGAGCGGTACCTATTTATCTACTTGCACTTTGTGCTTTCGAACTGCTAGGTTGGCAGGAGCAGGGACCAAACCATGGGAGCTCACCCCATCACAGGGATTCAAACTGCCGACCTTCCAAATGGCAAGCCCTAGGCTCATTTTAAAAAGAATTTTCCAAAGTTTCACGATCTTGCTACTTTGTGGGATGGGTCTGGGGGTACAGCTAAACCTTTAGTCTCAGAGTATATGGCCATAGAATAAATCACAGAATTGTGGAGTTGGAAGCGACCTTGAGGACATCTAGTCCAACCCCCTGCAATGCAGGAATCATTTTGCCCCACATGGGGCTTGAACCCACAACCCGGAGATTAAGGGTCTCGTGCTCTACTGACTGAGCTATCCAGGATGATTGTTCTGTAATGGAGCTCGGCACATGTCCAGGTAAAATTTGTATTGAATATAATCCAAGGCTGGTATTGATAGATCCCCAACACAAATTCAACCCTGCTTCTTGTTCTTCCATAGCCTTCCAAATGACAGGTTTTCATTTAGTTAGTGACAATACACCATAGGATGTAATGCAGATGCTTTCAAAAACTGTATTTTGCTGCCCCCACGTGGCCAGAGCTGGATTCAGCTATTGCCTCCCTTGAATTCAGCTTTCCGAATTGACGCTTCTGAGATTTTGACTCCCTGATCCAAGATGCTATGCTACTCACCTCAGTGATTTGTTGAAAGCAGGTCGGTGTCCAGCAAGAACGCGGCTTGATAATAACACGTCAGGTCATGCGTGTTCTTTTGGCATACTTATAATCCAGGTATTCTCTTCAACAATAATGCATTATCCAGATTTGGGAGGCAACCCAACGGGACCCAGCACAACTTCCACAACTGCTTGAGGTCCCTCTTCCTTCCGAATCCTTGATCTCGCTTCCCCTCCCTACTCTCCTAACTTGGCTTCTAGCTGTTGATGTTACTTGGATGTCAAGACGGATGAATGATGCAGCGAGAAAACAGCTAAAAAGGTGGCGCAGAATGCCAGTGGAGATACAGGTATCTGCCATGGCTGCACCTAACTCACAGCAAATAAGGATTGAATCTGGGCCCTTCTGTCTGCAAGGGAGATGCTCTAACACGGAGCCACTTTTAAAGGAGGAACATAGTAGTTAGGTTCCCTGTGAGGTGGTGGCATAAGGCATGCCTCTCCCCTATGGCTTCAGTTCCCCCGAAATGTAGGAACTGTCGCCTTCACAATAGGTAAAGGTAAAGGGACTCCTGACCATTAGGTCCAGTCGTGGCCGACTCTGGGGTTGCGGCGCTCATCTCGCTTTATTGGTCAATGGAGCAGGTATACAGCTTCCGGGTCATGTGGCCAGCATGACTAAGCCGCTTCTGGCGAACCAGAGCAGCGCATGGAAACACCGTTTACCTTCCCGCCGGAGTGGTACCTATTTATCTACTTGCACTTTGACGTGCTTTTGAACTGCTACGTTGGCAGGAGCAGGGACCGAGCAATGGGAGCTCACCCCGTCGCGGGGATTCGAACCGCCGACCTTCCGATCGGCAAGTCCTAGGCTCTGTGGTTTAACCCACAGCGAGGGGTGTGTGGGTGTGTAGTTGTTATGAGGCTTCCCTCTAAGTACACTCACACCCTTGATATTATGGCTTAGAACACAATTTGAGAAAACTGCAAGGTTCTTTTTCTTCTTTTTTAAGTGGAGGAATAGGATTTAAAAGAATTTTGAGGAAACTGCTGCTGCCAAAGCCCCCCTCGTGAAAAGAACAGGTAAGAGGAAGGAAAGATTTAAGAAGAGAGCAAAACTGTTAACACACCTGAGCTCACTGGACACATCACCCAAGGGGAAGTGGGGATGAGCCCCAAAGGTATGGTGGGTACACAGCCTATGGTTTCTTTCTTTCTTTCTTTTTAATTTTATTTTCAATGCATAATTACAATATAAGATTCAAAAATGAAGCATAAATAAGAAAAACCAAAGAAAAAAGAAAAATAAAGAAAAACAATATCAATGACAAAACATACATACATTTTGACTTCCTTCCACCCTTTTCAGACTTCAAATTTCCCATTTATCTTATTTGTTGTGTTATTTTATTTACATATATGCTACTTCTGGTTTTCTGCCTTTTATAGCCGTTTCTTCATTTCGCTAACCCTGCAAAAGTCATTCATTACATATCAATATATTTATTCCAGAACCATGTTTTTTATGTACTCTTTAACACAGTCCCATTCTTTTATTAATTTTTGATCTGACTGTCCCCTCAAGACTCCCATTCACATGAGAGCCCATACTGTATCCTGCTTCCTCCACAGGGCCACGCTCCGGGGACGAGGCTCCAGCTCCAGCTCCCAGGATGGAGGGCAAGAGACGGAGCCAAGATGCCCGTACGGAGGTGGAGGCCAGGTTTGGGGAACTCGTAAGATCAGGTAGGAGGAAATGCCCCCTTCCAAAGTCCCCCACCCTCCTGCCCGAGACTGAGGCTAGCGGAGGTGGGAGTGCCGGCTGTCTCCTTTGCTTTGCAGCGAGGGAACAACTCAGCCTGGGAGCCACTGCATCCCGGGAGGGACTGAAGCCCAGGTGAAGGATACCTGCCTCGGAGGTAACGGGACAGGGGGAAGCAACCTTTAGCGTTTAGAGATCCCTGTAAAAATCCTCCGCTTTAAAGATCCCTTCTTTCTTGCAGAATCTCCCCCCTGTACCTGCTGCCCAAGCCTCCTCCCAGAAGACCGTAGGATGTTCCGGCAGAACCATAATAAATGGTTGCCAATGTCTCTCATTTTTGTCCGAGTGAAACATATGATATGCACACTACCTTAGGAAATTGTCTGATCCCAGTTTGTACACAGCCTTTCCATATGGCACATGCCACACACATGGGAAAGTGGTTTTCTAAATGGATTCCTGAAGGTATCATTGGTTATACCAATCTCCATGATTGGGGACAGGTGAAACAAGGCCCTCTGTCTGGTTCCCTGTAACCTCACTCCTCGCAATGAAGGAACCGCCAGAAGGCCCTCGGCGCTGGGTCTCTGTGTCCGGATTGAACGATGGGGGTGGAGATGCTCCTTCAGGTATACAGGACCGAGGCAGTTTAGGGCTTTAAGGTCAGCACCAACACTTTGAATAAATTGATAAATGGTATGATTTGGGATTATTTGGAATGTGAAGCGAAAAGGACCTGGCCAAGCAAGGGCCTTTAAGAAATAATTCAAGGCCTTGGAGAGCCTAACTGGAAATGCCAGAGAACTCCGTCTTGGTGTGAGGTGGCAGGAAAAGAGGTTTTGAGCAAGGGGTACTGGAAAGAAGAAGAAAGAGGAGGAGGAGGAAGACAGTCTGGAATCTGACTTGGGAAGACTGGCTGGCCTGCTGTGGGGGTCAATTCCCTCTTGCAATGACTCTGCTGTAAGATCTGGATTCCCTCCATGCAGACTGAAGATGAATAAACAGGTGAATAAACCGTATTTCTTAAAGCAAGGACAGTCTCCACCATGTCTCAGTTCTCTAAAGGAGAGAGCCTGGAACCCCATGAGCTCTTGCCATTGCTTGGCAGAGAGAGGGGAGACACCTAACATTTGGAACAATATTTTATACACCCTGCTCCCTGAAACCACCCTCTTAGAAGTACTTGAGCTTTCCGTTCTTGGTTCCTAGGCAACCAGGGAAAGAAAGCTGCAGGTTCATCATCCCTGTTCTAAAAAGCAGGTGTCTTCCCCCAAACGATCCTGGGAAGGGGTTCTGGGGATTGTAGGTCCGTGAGAGGGAAGATGCAATGACCCGGATCGTTTGTGGAACATCATGTGCTTTAAAGGCTCATTGGATGCCCTTTTCAACATGGAATTGTCGAGTTGGGAGGGACTGGGAGGGACCCCAAGGGTCATCTAGACCAGTGTTTCCCAACCTTGGGTCTCCAGCTGCTGTTGGACTACAATTCCCATCATCCCTATAATTTGAACTTAACACAAGAACAAAACCCAGCGGCCTGTCGGCCATGCTACCTTCAGACGACGGCTGAGATCAGCCTACCCCCAATTAAGGAAGCCCAGCACACTGAAGAGAACACTACACCACCTCCAATAAGGAGAACCATCCCGAAGGTGAACTCACCAGGCTCTTGGGACAAGCTGAGGTACCTTGACGAGGCAGAACTAGGCCACAATCAGGTACCGGAAAAATACCTACGGAAAGAGATAACACACCCCAAAGGCCCGGTGACTACTAATGTCAGTATTCACCAGCGAACAGCCGAAACTATAGAACACTTGGCTAGTTTGCCATGTACGGAGAGTAATGGGCCGGCTCATAAAAAAGTAATCCCTAAAAGCACCTTGGGAAATAACTGACAAAGATCAGACCAGAGACAAACACCAGCCGGCTCCCTATCTCCGCGGAAATCCGACATCATTAGATATGAACAGACTCAATCCTCACTCACAAATCAAGCAAAAGCAGCTCTTTCCTTGAAAGACGCACCCAACCCATCCCAGAGCCTTAAAATTGTCTCCTGGAATGTTAACGGCTGGGCGACAAAGCAAATGGATCCTGAAGCAATGAATTTCATCTCTTCTTTCGACATTGTGTGCCTCCAAGAGACCTGGTCCCAACAAAGTATCGCTCTCCCAAATTATTGCTCCTTTAGCTCCTGTGCTCGAAAACTAACCAACAGGGGTCGCCCCCAAGTTGGCCTCGCCTGTCTTATTTCAACCAGCCTATCTCTCACTACTTGCGAGGAAATTAAATCTTCCCCTTACTTTCTCACTATAAAGATCCATCTCCCAAAGACCAAAAGCCCATGGTTGATAACTACAGTATATCTGCCCCCAGCAATTAACGATTTCGACCGCAATGAAAGGTGGTCTGAACTTTCGTCTTGGCTCCATGATCTTCAAACAACTAACCCAGGACTTCCTCAAATCCTCTTAGGCGACTTTAATGCAAGAATAGGTCCCAATGACAATGATATAGTATCCCCCGCAGCACTCCTGGACAACCCCCTGCAGCCCCCATGGGGAAACAGATGCTCTCTTGATCCTACAACAAACGCGTCGGGGAGACTGATGGCCCAATTGGCCATGGAAAACGATCTCTGCATCGTGAATGGTAACATTACTCCCCTGTCCTCGCAGCAATTTATGTGTATCACTTCCCGGGGAAGTAGTGTTGTCGACTACATTTTATTGACGCCGGAGCTATTTTCAATTTCTACAAAAATGGAAGTGGCTGAATATTTTGGTGGTGACCACCTTCCATTGACTCTATTGTTAAACCTAATAGAGCCATTTTCAGTCCCCTCAAACTATAGAACCATGGTACAAAGCCACCCTGTATACAAAACAAAGAAATGGACAAGCCTCAGCTCCTCCCCTGGACATACAAAAATCAATTGATATTTCTGCAGCTCTCTCTGATCCAATCCTGCCTGCTGATCAATACCGGAAATTACTTGATGCTTTCTCAGCAACTTACATAACCACCACCTCGCCTACTCACCAACGCCTTTTCTCTGAATCGCCTTGGTTTGACAAGGAATGCAAAGCCCTAAGAAGGCGAATTAGGAAAATGGTCAGAATCATCAAATTTTCCAATGACCCCCAAACCCGTGCAAAGCTCATAGAGATTAAAAGGACATACAGAAATATGATCCATTGCAAGAAGCAGCAGCACATCTTTAAAGCTTGGTCCACTCTTCGTTCGGCTGTAGAGAGGCATGACTCCCGCTCCTTCTGGCGCTTAGTTAGACCTTCGGCACCATTCAATCCAGCTACCCAGATTTCCCCTGATGAATGGATTGCCTATTATTTAACCAGTTTCGCTTCTCCAAATCATCTTACAGATCTCCTTCAGTCCCCGTCGGACCCCGGTTTCTGTTCTCCTAGTTCCACTTCTTCAATAAACTTTACCTCAACTCGCATTTACAACATCATAATGTCAATGCGAAGAAATAAAGCCCCCGGCCCAGACATGGTCCCGTTGGACCTTTTCCTGACTGATCCTCTTTGGTGGAGCGAACACCTGACTCCTGTATTCACCGCTATCTCCTCTGCCCTAGACATCCCCGACTCCTGGAGAGAAGCTATAATAGTTCCGATCTTCAAAGGCGGTCAGCCAAACATCCCAAGGAACTATCGCCCCATCAGTTTACTATCCATCCCGGGGAAAATATTTGCCGCTGTTTTACTGGAGGAACTTCTCTCATGGGTCCAGGAGAGGAACATTCTACCGCTAGAACAGATCGGTTTCCGAAAGTCAGCGTCAACCATGGACCACTGTCTAACTCTCTATCACCTTGCCAGTAAATACACTGCTCCAAGACAAGGCCACCTATTTGCCGCTTTCATGGATCTGGAGGCCGCCTTTGATTCCATTCCTAGGCAGAGATTATGGTCCAAACTTGCCCACCTGGGAATTGATCCGCACCTCCTCTCCCTAATTATTTCCCTTTATTCAAACACCACAGCTCGCGTCCGAAGTGGTCCCAACGGCTCCCTCACTACTCCATTTCCAACGGCCAAGGGCGTCCGACAAGGTTGTCTCTTGGCCCCTTTACTATTTAATCTTTATCTTCATGATGCAATTTTCACTCTGAAGCTAGCATCTAAGTATCCTCCTCATTTAGCAGGCCACCCCGTTGCCTCCCTTTTCTATGCTGATGATGCCATCATCTTATCCAGAACAGCTGCGGACCTAGCAAATGCAGTTAATGCATTTATCGCCTACTGTAAGGCGGAAGCCCTCAATATTAATTATAAAAAATCGAAAGTCCTCCACTTCACTCGTTCCCGCAAACTCAAGTTGGAGCCGCTTAAGATCACAGGTGGCTATTTAGATAAGGTAAAAGCCTTTAAATATCTAGGCCTAATATTCACTTATAATCTCTCCTGGTCCACCCATCTACAATCTGCCTTTCTCGCTGCAACCACGACCTCTAACGCCATTGTCCGATTTTACCACCAGAAGGGCGGCAAACACCTTCCAGCAGCAATTCAAATATTTAATGCCAAAGTTGTCCCTAAATTACTATATGGATGCGAAGTATGGACCACAGCAATATCAGGTAACCTGGATCGCCCACTTCATATGTTTCTGAGATCTCTTTCCGGCATCCCGAGATGTGTATCAGGTGCAGCCTTACGACTCGAGTTCGCCCAGCCCTCAATTGTTAAACGAGCATGGAGTCGAGCCATTTCCTACAGCCTCCACCTATTAGCATCGGATGCCCGAATTAGAGGTGGTTTTTCCAATCTGATCCCAAGAGATATTCATAACTCCCCTTGGAAAACTACAATTAACCTCAAATTCCGCTCTCTTCTTAATCTGAATTGTAAAACTGTTTTTAACTTAGAGTGTATTAGCCCGGCGGCCCTACCTCTAATTAAAAAGAAACTACAGCAACTTGACTTCTCTAACACAGCCTCCTATGCAAGAGGACCGTGTTCAGGCCTAGCCCTAGCTATTCCACCCCCTGAAGGGATCCCTCTATACTGCTTCACAATTCCTTCGGAGGCTAAGCGAAGGGCCTTTACCTGTGCCCGTCTCAACTGTTTTCCTACAGCAGTTCTCTCGGGTCGTTATTCCAGAGTTCCCATCGCAAATAGAACATGCACCTGTAATGACACGTCCCTAGAGACTATGGAACATGTAATGCTCTTCTGTCCCAACTGGACAGATGAAAGATCTCGGTTTTTAACTCCCCTCGTGAATAAGTTCCATCTCCCAATCCAGCCTTGGATAGTGTCCCTCTTTTTGCAGGATTCTGATTGTTGGATTACCGAGATGACAGCTAACTTCCTGCTTAGTGTGATGAAGAGGAAAGCGGCACTAACTTCTTCCTTAACACCACAGCTGCAGGCGACACACCGCACAATCGAACGAAATTCCAAGTAGCCTTACTGTACATGGACAATCGAGTTAAGACAAATCTGAGGAGCCGAAGGACCCTTTAACGGTCCTCCTCCAGCCACAGCAGTTTTTTTTTCCTCTCTCTAAGTAATCGCCCAGGACGATAT